TGCAGTACACTAGAACAACACTGCCAGAGTCAGAACACAACCTGACACCCTGTGGGGTGCTGGTGGCAGTGCCATTGGAATTGTGGCTCAGCCCTCCTGAAATATCAGGTGTGGTTCTGCTGGAGCAAGGGGGATCTGTAGAGAAGGATGTTGCATATTCACACACTTCATACANGGATGGGACACCCTGAGGGGATGGGACACCCACCAGGGTCAGCCCTGCCTGGGGTGTGCCAGGCTGTGCCATCCCATTCCACCCTATGGATCCCATCTCAATCCCATCCCATCAATCCCATCCCATAAATCCCAATCCCATCCCATCAATCCCATTCATCCCAATCCCAATGCCATCAATCCCATCCCACAGATCCTGTCCCACCCATCAATCCCATCCCGTGAATCTCATCCCAATCCCAACCCTAACCCATCCCATAAATCCCATAAATCCCAATCCCATCCCATCAATCTCATCCCAGTCTCATCAATCCCATCCCATAGATCCTATCCCACCCTATCAATCCAATCCCATCAATCCATCCCAAATTCCAATCCCATCAATCCCATCCCATAGATCCTGTCCCACCCCATCAATCCCATCCCATCAATCCATCCCAAATCCCAACCCTAACCCATCCCATAAATCCCATAAATCCCAATCTCATCCCATCAATCTCATCCATCCCAATCCCAATCCCATCCATCCTATAAATCCCATCCCATATTCCTGCAGCTCTCACCTTCGGCACCTCCTGCATCACCGTGGCCGCGCTGTCCTCGCTGCTGGGGGGGGGTGTCCTGCAGGTGAGAGCCCCCCGAAACCCTAAATCCTCTCCCTCAGCTTCTACCGTCCCCAAAAAACCCCAAATCCCCCCAAACACCCCGTGCTGTCAGTGCCCATCCGAGCGGTGACACCGTGGGGACACGGCCACGCTCTGGTGGCACCTGGAGAGCCCTCGAGGGTGAAGAGGTTGGGGCAGTGCCAGGCCCTCCTGGAGCTCTTGCAGACCCCAAAAAAACCCCGAAAAACCAAAAAAAAAAACCCAAAGCCCCCCAACCCCCCTGTGCTCTCTGTGCCCATCCAAGTGGTGACACCATGGGGACACCGCAGGGATATGGACATGCTTGGGTGGCACCTGGAGAGCCCTCGAGGGTGAAGAGGTTGGGGCAGTGCCAGGCCCTCCTGGAGCTCTCCCAGACCTCAAAAATAAAACCCCACAAACCCCAAAAGAACCCCAAAACCTCCCCTGAACCCCCCAAACCGCTGCCCTGTCTGTGCCCATCTGAGTGGGGACACCACAGGGACATCGCAGGGACACCACAGGGACACGGCCCAGCTCTGGTGGTGCCACCTCAAGAACCTTCAAGGAGGGGGAATTGAGGCAGTGCCAGGCCT